GTAAGTATGCTGCATTTCATCAAATGTAAGATACATGCTACTGTGGTTTGGAACATAAATACGCTTTAAGACCAGTGTGTTAAATGCTTTCTCTAAAATCCATGGTGCTATTGGGGTGGGGGTGAATAGTAGAACTTTTAAGAAGTTAGATCACTTGGAAATATGCTTGTAAAGGGAATACTGAAGCCTTGAACATATCCTTCATTTGTTTTCTAGCACTCATGATGTGTCCATCACACTTTGCCATATGCTCTGGTCATGATATATATGTTGCATGGTCCTAAAGCTAGGACCTCAGAAGCTAGGAGTTATAATAAACTCGTATTCCTTTTAGGTTGATCAAGTCAGAGGCAGAAAAGCTGACAATGATTCACAGTCATATTCTATATTGATAGAAGATAATAATCTAATGCCAAATATATTAAAGAACCATGGGAGGGTTTTAGACATAATACAATATATTTTTTGTTACTACACAACAAATTTCCATAAGCATAATAGCATTGTCTTACTTAAGGGTTTTATTGCTGTGAAGAGACACTGTGACCATGGCAACTCTTATAAAAGAAAACATTTAATTGGGATTGGCTTACAGTTCAGAAGTTTAATCCATTATCATCATGACAAGAAGTATGGAGGCATTCAGGCAGATGTGGTTCTGGAGAAGGAGTTAAGAACTCTATATCTTGATCCACAGGCAGCAGGAAGAGAATGCTGCGCTAGACTTGGCTTGAGCACCTACGATCTCAAAGGCTACCCACTTCCTCCAATAAGGCTAAATCTACTCCAAGAAAGCCACTCCACTTAATAGTGTCACTTCCTATGGGTCTATGGGGGCCATTTTTATCCAAACCACCACAAGCATAAAAGAACACAATTCTGTTAACTTATCCTGCAGGTCAAAATTTGAGGTACAACGTAACAGACTGCTTACAGACTTACAAGACTGAAATCAAGACATTGATTACATTCTGTTCTCCAGCCAGTCATTTTCAAGCATGTGTAGGTTGCTGATAAATTTAATTCCTTATAGCTGTATGCCAACATGCTCTTTATTGTTGGCTGGGGACACTCAATTCTTAGGTCATGTGGAAACCTTCCCTCTTCAAAGTACACAATGAAAAAGTCTCTGTTGGTATTAAGGCATCTGAACTGGCCTGTCCTAGGAGTTCTGACAGGATATGCCCTCAGCTGTAGACACTAAGAGCACCAACTGCGCACATTCAGGCTTTTCCCTATTAAATTCCCTTGTATTTTTACCTGACTCGGTATTGGTAATATCCCACATTACTGTGTTCCCTTTTAAAAGGGTCGTGCCTACCTCCCATCCTTCTCTCTTTTCCCCCCTTTCTGACTGTCCCCCCTTCTCCTTATCCCTCCCTCTCTCCCCCTCTTTCCCCTCTCCTGCTGCTCCCATCTCTGGAGGCCGGTCTACCCTCTTCCCTTTCCCCATTTTATGATTTTTGAACTCTGCCACATGGCGTCTTTCCCCTCATATGCCACTTTTCTTAAATTAGAACAGTTTCCCTTTTGCTGAATGTCCTTTAAATGCTGATTTTTTTTCTTTTTTCCCTCTATGAAAAGCCTAATATGTTTTAAAGAAGTGAATAGTATGTAAATACCAGGAGGCAATAAATATTTTAAAAGGAAGAATCTTCATGTGTCCAACACATTGCCATGATGAAAGAGACTGAAGCTCAGTTGGAGTGTTTTTTGTTTTGTTTTGTTTTTTCATAGCAAAGGTTGGGATGAGGGATTTCTAAAGTTCAGAACCCCTGATTGGCTGACATTTGTCTGGGGTGAAAGGGGATGGGTGTGTGTGCTGGGCTAAGGGACATCAGGTGATCCTATGTACAAAGGTTGGAATGTTAGGAATTTCCTTTGTAGCCTTAGGTACTTTCCCCTTGGATGGTCTGTTCCTGAGTTTTGCCTGCATAGCCTCAGTCTGTGGTCTTTTCTGGAACCAGGTATTGCCTTAGGGTAATCTGAAACTCAGGCCTCTATTGATCTTGTCATGTCTGGGCCGTACACTAACCCACTGCCCCCCCCCAAAAAAAACCCTTTATAATAAAAAGACAGGATATATTTAGTGCTAGAGCAGAACTTTGAAAGAATAAGCCACAGCTCAAGTATATTTAAATGTTAAAGTAAAGAAAAAAAAAAAGGTCCACAACTGGATTGAAAAAATTCCCATCCTACACATAGTCAACTTAGGCTTCCAAGCTTCTTGAGATGCTCAACTTTGGAAACAGCATGGATGGACACATAGGATAACAGGCTTGCAGGACTCTCATTTCAAAATATTAAGACAATTTTGAGCTAAAAATATTTTACTTTACAGAACATTGTATTATATCGATAGTCAAAGTAAATGCCAAAATTTTCAATTGGGCTGATGTTTCTTCAAATACACAGCTATTTAGAAAGATTCTTAACTATATTGTGTCCACACAATTGTTTTCTAAAAATGGTAAGATAAGAGTCAATGAAAACAGAATTACAGGAGAATCCTTAGACACTAGCACTGGTAATCTGGGTTATCGGCTGTATGTCTCCGACCAAATCATTAACTGGAGCTCTTTTTTTTTCCTCCTATAAAATGAAAGCGGAAATTTTGCAGCTCTGGAAAGTGACTACAGAAATCTGTGTCTCACGTGTACTGGATGCCCAAGACTATTTAAATGGAGTCTTTAAGTGGAATCCCAGCCAGGCTGTCTTGGGTTTGGGGAAAATGATGTCCTTTAGGCACGCTGACACCCAAGGATTTACAAAGCAAACTCCGTCACCCCGGCGGCTCCCCAGCCCCTGGCGCGTTTAGCTCCCGCAGCCGGAGGTGACGTATCATTTCAGTGGTTCTGTTCCGTGTTCGCCCCTCAGCGCTCAGTCTCCTTCACTTAGCCACGCCCCTCACCTGCAAGGAAGCTCACCAAGCTGCCCCACCTC